CAGATCCGAGTACGCGTTAAAATCTCCAAGCAGTTGACATGGCGTATTCGAACACACCGAGCGTAGTGAACTCAGTGGTAAATCTGAAGACCGTGGCGCATAGCATGCTGCCACCTGAATCGAAACTGAACCTAAGCAAACTGAAACTGCGAGCAAATTAGGTTCTGCAAAAAAAACCGTAGCCTGAACTGAATTATGCACTAGGAGTAATATACCGCCGTGCGCGTTTGAACCAGGTGTAAAGAAACGTTTGTATGAAGGAAACCAAGCATGATTTAAGTTCGAGATAGCGTTGCCGGTTTCGATCAAAGCACAGACAGTTGGTGCACTAAAATTTATAATTTCCTCAACCTCGGGTAATCGACTCGATAAGCCTTCAACATTAAACAAAAGAGAAGACAACGGTTTGGTAGTAAGAAAACTGTCGCAGGAAAAAGAGTTTCAAAAATTTGACAAACTTGAAATAGAACGCTTGAAGTTCCACTCGTGAACTAGTAACTTTAAAAGCTCTCGATCGAGATCACATAACTGTTCGAGATTAGACGTCACAACATTTAAATCTATACAAGGATCGAAAAAAGCAAAAGGTGGAGCTAAAGGGTTAAAATTCATGTCGAGAAGGATGCAGAAGTCGAAATAACGTTAGTAGTAGGAGCTGGTGAAGGAAAAGGAAATTTTGACATTAAATTTGAAAAAACCCTTGAACTTTGAAAAAAGCTAGTTTCAGTCACAGTTCCTGCTTCTGCTAAACATTTTGTCATTCTTCTCACTTTCTCGCTTTCTGCTTCAGCCTCTATACCTAAAAGAGAAACTGTCTGTCTGTCTGGTTTACCTTCCATACAAGATATTTTTTCGTCCAATTTAACTAACGAATCAGCTAATGTAAATACACATGGAATTACAACGTTGCTAACTAAAAGGTTCATTTGTTCTACTTTTGATGATACACAGTCGACTTTTGCACCTAACATGTTAATTTGATTACTAAGATTCAACATTGTATCAAAATGAGCTTTATTAATTTCCGATAACTGTTGCTGATAATGTTGCATGTGATCTTCAAACTCACAACGCCTAATTAGTGAATCTTCACCACTATCGGTTCTATTGAGAACATTAGCATAAGTTGATAACTGTGCCTGTCTAACAGATGAGGACCTCACTGGTGATACTGTACGATTAACCTGTTGTTTAACATGAGATGTAACACGATTTTGTGCAGGTGTAAGCGGAAAAACTCTGTTCAGACGACTTCTAAATGCTTTAGGTATGTGTACATGATTAGGAACCATATCTTTTTCCAGCAGCTGTTCAATTAATTCTCTTCTATACTGTAACAATGCGGGGCACTGAGAATAAGTATAAGAATGATCACCACAGCAGTTCCTGCACTTAGTAACATTGGTACACACATGTGATGAATCAAGAGATCTTTCTGCAGAACAGACAGCACAGTATTCATGAGCACTTGCACATTTGGCACGGAAGTGCCCGTATCCCTGGCATTTTGAGCATAGCATGACCCTAGGCGTACCCAAATAGCGTTTCACTGTTAGCTTCAAATGATTAACATAAATAAACCCATTATTCAGACATTTTGTGTAATCACGATTGTCACGGAAGTTAACCTTAACATTTCGTGTTCGACTAGATGCAGGACAGACGAAGAGAACGACATCCGCAGAGGCATACTGCTCCTGAACATCAGCGATTACTTCTGCCTCTGATAGCTGACAAGAAACTCCCATAGCTAAAACACTCATCTGTGGAGGTATACGCTTAGGCTGTTCAATATTAAATTGTTGACCATTAATACTTCTGGGATATGTTTCATTCATAAGTAACTGCGAAAATGCTTCACGGTTATCACCATAAACAAACAAATATTTCTTTGTACTATCAATTCGCCAAAATGAAATCAAGTTACGAGTTCTAACATTTCGTCTTTTTAATTCATCAATAAACTGTCTAGTAATCTGATCAGTAAACAAGACGTTGGTATTAGTAAATGAAATTTTAACCGGCGGAAATCTGAATTCACAACTGAAACGTTCCGCTTCCTTGGAAATCTTGGGAACAGGTGTCTGTAATGGTGGTGAAATTGTTGCATCAAAAGACTGATCATTTTGCGCTTCTCTCGGCTGTAGTCGACGACGCTGGTGATGTACAACATGAAAAGCCTCAGCATTACCTTCTACTGAATCATCTAACGTAGTCTGAGATACTGTAGTAAGTGATCGCTGCTCTAATACAGTTGCGTTAGCTGTATTACGGTTTTGTCGAATTTCTGGTGGTGCTTGTGAGCTCATTTTTATACTGTTACGTTCATCCTCATCGGTACTATCTAATAAGCCCGGAGGCGGCGAAATTTTCCTACGCTGGAACACTGTAATGGTGGTATTAATAATTAAGAAGGAATTGGAAAAGTGTTTAAAAATTTATTTAAAAAAAAACTTGAGAAAACAAAAATTTGAGTAAAAGAAGAAGTTGTAATAATATTAACATTCTTTTGCTGGCTATTGTTACCCACAATAGAATAATAATGTTTCTAAAAGAAATTTTTCCTTTGCATATATTTTAGACAATTGAGTGGTTCGTATAACAAAGAACTAGAAAAAAATAAATGACTCATAAAAATCACACTTATCTGTCTTTGCAAAAAACCATTGATGTGTAAACATCAATACAAATAATTCTGTGTGATAATCAACTTTTGTTTTTCGTCTGTTCTCAATATGTAATGGGCCCGCCTGCTTCGTTTAGTCAAATAAACTATATTTAGAACAAATAATTCTATTTGTATTCAACGTGATGCCATACTACAGTATTTTATTTTACGTCATCATAATTTATTTTAGTTGATTCGTGACAACTCGAGCGCAAATTAAGGACAGATGATGCGCTCAAATGGTAATAGCGACTGTCTTCTACAAACTAAGAACAATAAACAAACAAACTTTTTTTTTGCGGGCTGCATGATCGTCTTTGGCTTTTGACAAAATCTTCTCTGACAAACCATTGATTTTTGGATGATTAACCTTCTTTCAGATTCTATTCTATCGTCAGTTTGTCTGTTTGTTTTCATTTGAGCTACAGAGAAAATGTAGAGGTAAAAGAGGAAATTTGCGCCGATATACGCATTTTCATAAACAAATATTTTAATGGACTGTGGATTCTTGCTCACTGAAGAACAAAAATTTGATTTACGTTCTTCAGAAAGCTGGGGAATAAGAATTATATTAGAGACTTTCTTCTTCAAGATGAAAGGCCATGCTACTTCCACTGGCGGTTGTTTTGCAAGTTATCACGAAAACAGTTCTCGTTCTTCGTTTCTACCTTTGAAATGCACTAACTGGACGACATTGCACAGTATTTTCTTGGCACATGCAAATCTAAGATCGTTTGACCTTTCATCTTGAAGAAGAAAGTCTGTTTCATAAGATTCTCCTTAGAAAGAAACTTTTGTGCCTTAAATTGACGTGGTTTTCCGAGAAACCTTGTAGTCTTCCAACGCATTTTTATGTATTTGACGGTCAAATCTCATCCTTTTTTCTCGATAGAGGCTGATTCGATAGAGGAGATTCTGGTCTATGACATGGACAGAATGTTTTATAAAAGTGCTTGGCTGTAATTATCATAATTAATTATGAAATTAATTTATTGCATAAAATATGTTCGAATTTATATCACATTTTTTGCGAAACCAATATCAAAATTTTTACAGTGGAGTAGTGAGCTGATTTTCACATATGTTATAGAGTTCAGCATTCTGAACAACTTTGCCATTTGGCATAGTATCAAAATCGGCTTCTGCGAGACACTAGAGATTTGTCTCTGAGAACTCCGTGTATTTCAGTGGAGTATCTCTTTTCCCCCCCACACAAATTACACGAGTGTCTCTTTTTCCGCCAATGCATAAAAAGAAAAAAATTATTAACGAGTGTAGCTGATTGTGTCTTAATTAGTTTAATGAGTTTAAACGATAATGAGCTCAAAATTATATGGTAGAGAGAGGAAGATTTGGGCTACAAAATGAGATATTTTTCAACTAATTATCTCTAAAGCATACCAAGCAGTCAATTATTAATTAAAACTCCATGTATTTGAATGGAATGTCTCTTTTTACCCCATGCAGACTAGTGGAGTGTCTCCTTTTATCCCAAGTGGGAAAAAAAGAGACACTTTCATGGGGCTCTTCGCATTTTGGATGTGGTTGAAAATTGGTCAGAGATTTCTAGAAAATTTTTACATCAACGTGTAGAAAAATGTCCGCTCTACCATCATGTTCAATAGCAAGTTTCTCCGACGAAAAAAGACTGACGAGGAAAGGACACCAACTGTCTAATCGCTTTTAGGCAAAGACTCACTGAACAATAGGCAATCGGGTGTGCTGAATCCGAATATGACAATGGTTTTTGCTGCTAGGCCTTGGAAGACTGAGTTTTCTAGAAAACTAGAGTTTAAGGTTGAAACACTTTTTGCGGCCAAAATCTTTTTTGATGCGTTCAAATGCAACAGCACATCGAAAAACCTATGAGAAACTACTTTTCAAAATTTTTTGGAGGGTTTTGGAGCGGTTTGTATAGGTCAAAATCTAAAATACAGGCTGAAAACCGGTATTTCGTTCCTGCGCATTTCACGTAAGAAAGACTCCGGCGACTAGAGGGAAGACCTCTCGTGCTCAAATTCGGAATCAGCACACTTGATTACCTAGAAATCACTCACTTTCGTACGTAAAATGCGTAGGAACGAAATACCGGTCTTCAGCTTGTATTTTAGATTTTGACCTATACAAACCGCTCCAAAACCCTCCAAAAATTTTGAAAAGTAGTTTCTCATAGGTTTTTCGATGTGCTCTTGCATTTGAACGCATCAAAAAAAATTTTGGCCGCAAAAAGTGTTTCAACCTTAAACTCAGTCTTCCAAGGCCTAGCAGCAAAAACCATTGTCATATTCGGATTCGGTACACCCGATTACCTATTGTGCAGTGAGTCTTTGCCTAAAAGCAATTGGTGTCCTTTCCTCGTCAGTAGTGTTCCATCTGTTCTGTCTCGATAAAACTACAAAAGGGGCAAGATGTGGATAAACAAGTGGTCATAAACTTAGAAAATGAACTTCGACTATAACGGTCATTCCTTATGCAAAATTTTGTTGCTGAGTCGCTGCTGTCTGTGTTTGTTTTAGCCAAATTCTCTGTAAATTAGCTCCACAACAAAACTGAGTGTTTAGGAATAGTTTCTGGTGAGCACAGTCCTTCTTTCAACTTCAGATATGTCGGCAGAACTGAACAAAAAACATACGCTACTGGGTGGACTTGAACCAACAACCTTTTGGTTAACAGTCAACTCTGTGAAAAATCTAGGGATTAATGAGCTGTACTGTTCTGCTTGTTCTGAGTCTTAGTCAGATAAATGAAACAGGAATCAAATGATAACATTTGGCTCTTCATCCCAAATTATTGAAGCCTGAATTGTTCTGAGCGGAAGAACAACCAACTATTACTTTCTTGATTCGTTAAACGATTCTCGAATCAGTGAGCTGTTTTCCTACCTGCCCCTGCCCCACAGCTACTCCGTGGACTGGTGAACAATTGCTGCTTA